ATATGTGTGTTAGCACATTTATCGATGTGTTTTTAGAGTACTGCTGTAAAACAACATACCACAGAGAAAAATCCATTTCTTCAGTAGCAGTAAAGCCCTGTTCCCTTGTGTTAAAGGGCAGACTCACTGGCAGTCACTTCGTTCTGCCACATGTGTCAGAGGCTTACACTGATCCTCTACTGCCCTGCAGCCACCCAGCACTAAGCTGATTTTGCTGTCTCCTCTGGTATTTCATTCCTTCAGTCCTTCCCTGCCTTCCACTCTAACCACAGCAAACACTTCAGAGTTTAGCAGCACTGAAAAGCCTGCTGCAGAAATTAATGGCAATTTGAACTCACCATCTGCTTTCCCAAGCAGAGTGGCTTTACAGGCAACCAAATCAAAGGTTGTGTGCCCAGGTAATTGGGATTGTATGTGTTCTCTTTGCTGCTCTGCAGGTTAGGAAACCTGGATTTCACTAGGTCCCGGGGCAGGAGTGGCAAGGTCATGGAAATCAAGATGTTCTTGAGTTGAGCGAAGTCAGTACAGGTGCTGGTTTACACTAATGGTTTACATCCTTGAATAAAGGATGTCTTCAGTCTTTGCACCTAAAAGCATTTTCTTCTCAGGACCACTGTTCATGATTGTTATGGATAACTGGATGCTGAAAAACAGACACTGATTTGGATTAGGATTCTCAGCAAAAAGGCTTCCAGTATCTGAAGGGGGCCTATAGAGGTGCTGGGGAGGGACTCTTCATTAGGGTCTGTAGTTACAGGACAAGGGGTAACGGGTTAAAACTTAAACAGGGTGTCGTGGTTTAAACCCAGTCAGGTAATTCGTTCGCTCACTTCCCCCCCTTTCTTGCCCTCCCCCTGCTCTCGGAGGGACGGAGAGGAGAATCGAAAAGAATGCAACTCCCACGGGTTGAGATAAGAACAGTTTAGTAACTAAGGTATAACACAAATCACTACTGCTACCACCAATGATAATAATGATAAAGGAAATAACAAGGGAAGAGAATACAACACCTCAGCACCAGCCGACCGATAACTTGCCCCCCCTCAGCCCGACCAAGCACCGACCGATACCTCCTCCAACCCTGCAGTCTCCCAGCCCTTCCGGCTAACTCCCAGTCACCTCCTGGGCATGACGTGCTGTGGTATGGAATACCTCTTTGGTCAGTTTGGGTCAGGTGTCCTGTCTCTGCTTCCTCCTGGCTCCCCCTCCTCCCTGGCAGAGCATGAGGCTCACAAAGTCCTTGGCCAAACCAAAACATCGCTTGTCATCAGCTCTGTTCCCGAGCTGAAAGTCAAAACACTGCACTGCACCAGCTACCAAGAAGGGGAAAAATGACTGCTACTGCTGAACCCAGGACACAGGGGAAGTTTAGATTGGATATAAGGAGGAAATTCTTTCCTGTCAGGGTGGTGAGGCAGTGGAATGGGTTGCCCAGGGAGGTTGTGAATGCTCCATCCCTGGTGGTGTTCAAGGCCAGGTTGGACGAAGCCTTGGGTGTATGGTTTAGTGGGAGGTGTCCTTGCCCATGGCAGGGGGGTTGGAACTTGATGATCTTAAGGTCCTTTCCAACCCTAACGATTCTATGATTCTATGAATTCCGTATCTAACAGACAGATTTCACCTTTGGTAGTGTACACGAGCATACCTGTTCGCATAACTGGTATGTGTTCTGGTTCCACATTGAGGGGATTTTGTTTGTGTCTTTAAGGAAATTAAGGCCAGGCTGGATGGAGCTTTGAGCAACCTAGCCTAGTGTGAGGTGTCCCTACCCATGGCAGGGACGCCTGGATGATCTTTAAGGTCCCTTCCAGCCCAAAGCATTCTAGGATTCTAGGAATAACTGGAGACACATACCGAGAAAACTCCACCAAACTTCCTAAACCCAATGAGGATTTGTATTTATTCTCAGCAGGCCCAGGAGCTATGGTCCAAAGTGAGAGCGAGTCACAGTCTTGTCCTTGGGACCACAATTCCCTAGGCTTTCACAGTTACGTGTTCCTGGCCCATCTCACTTGGGATTCAGTAGGAAACTCCATTTCTGTGACTTAGTATTCCGTTTTCACTCCCTGCAGAAGTAGTTTAAACTACTACTGAACATTTCATAGCTTTCCACATACACAAGTTGCCCCTGAGAGGTGATTTGAGGTTAGAAATGTCTTCTGATCAAACCCAGCACAGTCTTGGATTTACTGGAACCAGCAGCTACTCTTGAAAAAGTCTCAGTTCTTCTCTCAGGTTACTTTTTGGTGTGAGTATGCACTTTGAATTAAACCACCCTGTTCCTCTTGTCCCTTCAACTAGTCCTTTCCTTACAAAGAGAAACACTACATCCTGCTACATCATTAGCTGTCTCATCAATGTGAGGGCAAGCAATACTAAGAGCCTCACACCACCTCTGCAGTGAAAGCCATAGGAAGGCTACAGGGTCTGGCTGGGAAATGCTGCAGGTTGTCTCTGGCTGTGTTTCAAAGGCAGCATGCTGACTAGAAGAGGACCTGCAGCTCAACTGCTGGTCCTCAGGAGGAGGTGTCTGGGACCTCCCTGTTCTCATGTGAAGGCTTGAAGAGTGGGGAATCCTTGTACGCCTTACTCCTGCCAGGGGACCATTTTCGTCTGGGTTCCTGTCTCTTCTGAGCCACTGCCTCCCCTCCTCAGAGGTTTTCCCTCACCTGATGAACCAGAAGTACACAAAAGCCCCACCAAGATACGATTCCTCCACAAGGCAGGCAGACACCAGCAAACTAAATGATGTTCCTTAGGCAACTGCGAGTCCTTGTGGTACAACCACCTCTGAGAAGGAAAGCTTTTTACCTTCTGTAGAATGTGGTCAGTAATGACAGATAGCAGCTGTACCCACAGGAAAACAGAGCTGGCAGGGTTGCAGATCCTTAGGGCATGGCCTTTGAAGTGTATACAAATTTGAAACATATTTTCAGCTGCAGTAAGGCCACAAGGAGCACAGGTAGCCGGATTTGGGCAACAAGAACAAGGGAAAAATGTTTTCAACAAAATAATCTGAAACTTAGATTTCTCACTTGTATTGGGGTTGAATGTAATCATTAAGAAAGAAGGAAATGACAAGCTGGGCCAACATAACTGACCTGTTGCACATTAAGTACTAAGAGGAGTGTATCTGTGCCAAACAGTCTCCTGCTTCCCACATAATCTGCTAAAGAAACATCCCTGATCAAGTCATGTTCCAGCTGGCTATAGCTGTCCAGAGGTATGTACTTTTTTATAGCTCTGAGGGCACATAGATGTTTCCTTTTGATATCTGAGCATCCAGAAAACAAAAATGATGCCCAGGGCATGTTAACTGGTTGTGTCACATTGTGGTAACTGGGACCTTGGGTTACACATGTTCTAGGTTAAACCTGAAGTCAGCAGATGACATAAAACAGGGATTACAGTTCAAAAAGTGCCCCCCCAACATGTCGCATTGCCACATCTGTAGGCAGAAGGTTGCTTAATCCTTGTGTCCCTTGCCACTGTTAGAGAGATTTGCCACAAAAGGGTGCTCATTTTCCCTCCCATAGTTTTCCAGAGGGGAACCAGATTCAGGCAGATGAGAAGAGACCACCAACCTGGAATGGCAGCAGAAGTGGAAAATTCCTGCCCATGTCCCAGGGCAAAGAGCTTTCCTCTGTCTGCCTGTACCCCCATTTTTTCCATCAAACTGATTCTGCAGCCACTTTGTCTCCTGGGTTACAAGTAACGATGGGGAATTGCCATGTTTGCCACATCCCAGCTACAAGAGTGGCCTGGTATGCAAACAAGGATGCACACAGCCTTGCTCAGGAGGGGAAGGAAAGTTCTTCCGAAGCTTCCCAGAGCACGGGTGCCTCATCTGCCAGGTGCAACAGGGCAGCTGTGGCACCAGGAGCTGCAGCATTTGCTCTGTAACAGGGAGGTTACAATGGGTGCTCCACAAGTCATCAGACTGGTTATATTTGCACAGATGAAGAAGAGAAACAAGTCAAGTTATCAAACATGTTGCACAATGTTATTTTACCGAGTCTTCTCCATTTGCTCAAGAATGCCCACAGTTAATCCTGTTTCTCAAAAAACACTTCTTGTTCCACTGGTAAGGGTTTTCCCCAGGTCAGTTAGTGAGCCACGGCCCTCCTGGAGTAATTGTCTTCCTTTTGGTGAGGGCAGAGCACTGCACTTATGCCAGGTCCCAGTCTGCAGCAGAGCCATTTCAGCTGCATTGTTGCCACGCTGATGAACTCATTTCATGCCCCCAACAGCTCACACTGCTTGGGTAAGGCTGTGAGAACTCCCACAGTGGTTCCTGCAGCGCCTTTCCTTCAGGGGTACCAGAAATACACTATGAAACACAGCAATTGTAACTCATCTTTATTGTCTGGCAATTAGCAATGTATGAAAGTCCCATGGCAGAGATGGACCTGCTGTTTTAACTGTATTTGACCTTCAGTGAGGTCAAATTTTCTTCTTATTTTCTTCTGAACCTGCTGCATACCGCTCTCACCAGTTGGTTCCTTGAAAACCAGCGAATTATCATCACTTCATAGTGAATTGTCACTTTGTACCCCACTTCCCTGTGCTACGCACACCTGCTTCACTGCTCCGCACCGACCAGTGCCCGTCACCCCTGCTGCCCTTCCAGCCCCCTTTCCCTGCAGGCCATTCGCTTCCCCCATCACCCTACCAAGGCTCTGCCGCGGAACCACCCCACCACAGGCCCCTGTTTCGGGGGGTGTTAATTAACCTTTCCCGGAGGGATGTTAATTAAAAGCCGCCGCAGAGATAGCGCCTCAAGGACCGCTCCGTCTCAGTGCCCGCGCGGTTGCAGCGCCCCCTGGCGCCGCGGCAGCTCCTACCCGCGCCGCCCGGTGTCTCCCTCAGCCCCGCCGCTGCCGCGAGGGGATGGCCCGGCTGGGGCCCGCCATGAACCTGCACTTCAGCATCGCTGCCGCCGAGGAGCTGCGGGACAGGCGTGGGGAGTGGAGCTGGCGGCGGGGTGGTTCGGGCCGGGCGCGGTGTGCTTGCAGGTGTACTCGGTGTGTCTGCGGGGCCTCCTGCTCGGCAAGGCGCGGTACAGCCAGCTCCGCCGGTGGGACGCGCGGGTGAGGCCGGCCGGAGGATGGCGGGGAGAGGGGCACCCCGGAAAGCCTCGGCGGGGCAGCCTGAGGGGACCGGCGGGATCTGCGTCAGGCCGCGCCCCGTGAGGGCTGCAGGGCAGGGAGGGCTCTCCTTGCCCTCGCAGACCCAGTGTGGGATGAGGACGGCGAGTTGTTTCCGCCCAAATGCGTGTTGTTAAAGTTTCCTTCATGCTGATCTCGCAGGGAGGATATGCCTGGTCCCCTCAGTGATGGGCTGTTAGAAAGGCAGAGCTTCTGCTTGCGTGGCACTCGTGTCTGCAGGGTGAAATCCAGCAACAAATGAGAGGCAAATCTAAAGAAAGCCAAGAGATGTGACGGAAGGGTACGGTAAGCTGGCTTAGTGGGATGCACTGGCCAAGCTGTGGGCTCCAAATGCCTCCTTTCCTTGGGCTCTGGGAGAGAGGTGCAACTGCACTCCTGTAAGAGGTCTTTAACCCTGTGAACAAGTCTAAGTGTGTAGAGGTCAGTCCGTGCAAGCTGCACAGTCAAGGCAGGGTGTTTTGGACAAGGCAGGGGTTAACTGAGTGTGGGATCCTTTGGCCTGAATTGCCTAAGTGGATACCTCAGGAGTGACCCTTTCCCCAAAGGCAATTACAAAACAGCTGGATCACAGGCCTGGAGTATTCAAAGGAACAGTGGGCGTTAGGAAATAATGTGGAGTATTTCAGGGTGACCCTGCCTGTTTATTTCTGCTTTTGTTTTGTTTCTTGTTGAGTTGCCTCTGTCCCTTTCCCCTCTATCTCTGTTTCATTTTTTTTTTTAGGATGATAAAAGGGAGCATGTGATTTGAGCTTTTTCATGGAAGCAGAATGGCTGCCAGCCTTCGCTTTGCTAGCCTGATCTCTCTGGCCTTCACCAGTCCTTGGCTCCACACAAGATCTCTCCCAGCTCTTCTGTCAGTGTGGGTCGTCCTTGCTGAACAGCCTTATTTTACATTTTATTTTGACAGCCCTATTTTAGGCCCCTGTTTGATTAATACTTCTTGTGGTAGTGGCTTAAGTAGGTGCTCCTTCTCTTGGCAGCCTTCTCTCTGTGCTCTCAGTTGCAATGATAGAACCACTGTGGAGCAGTTCTTACAGCCAGCCAGGTAACTCCAGATGGAGATGGATCCATCTCTCCCAACTCTGTGTGACTGAACAAGCAGTTGAAGCTGCAAAGCTAGAAAACAGCTGAGTCAGCAGCAGGCTTGCTACGGGAAGCTGTGTTTGCTGAGGTGTGCTTTTGTGCCCCAAACTCTGCAATTCTTTTCCCTGTGGGAGCTCTCACTGTAATATTTTGCTTTGGTTAATGGAGCATTTTGGATAACATATCTGAGCTAATAAACCAGCTTATGTATTTGCATGCTTTTTCTTCAAGGCTTACGGTTTCTTGCTCAAGAGTTTAACTTCATTAACACGCTCAGCAAAATCTTCTCCTTCCCTGCATGCTGTGTTACTAACAGTTTGCCCCTTGCTGGGCTTTACAACTTGTTCGGTGATTTTTATTTTTAATTGCTTCATTCCTGCTGTTGGTAACTTCCATACTCTGTCTTGAAGCTTACAACTACACTGCTGTCCCTTAATTGCCTTCTCTATCCTTATGCGAGATGCTTGTCTGTAATCATTACATCCTGTTCTGCTTATTTTGCTTTAAATATTTTGTTAAGGTAGAGAAACGCACACATAAAGAAGTCTTAAACTCCAGGATACAGTAATTCAAGCCTCGTGATCAGTGTGTCCCACACATGCAGCATTTCTGTGATGGATAAGAATTAGGAATAAGCTTCCCCTGTGGACAGATTCCTGCACAACTGTACTTTTTAGTTTGGCTTTTTAGTTTGGCAACTGATCTCTAAACAAATATCATAATAATGAATCCATGTTCTGTTGTAGGACTGAAAGGAACAGATTATTTCTTGCATATTTTTAAAGCTTTCACTGCTGTATTTCAAGCAGGGAGTAAATAGGATGCATCCTATGAAGGATTAAGAGTGAAATGCAACACTGGTGGATCTGGATAGCTGCCTGGTCAGGTAGGTCCAGCTAAGAGAAAATGGCAGTGCTCAGGGTACCCTGGCTTGGGGCTGAGATATGTGTTTTCTGTGGGGTGGCTTTAGGTTGCAGAAAGAAACCTAAAGCCTTGAAGGGGGAAGAAGAGGGAAGGTCAGCAGCAGGTTTTGAGTAGGGGATCCATCTCTTATTGTGGCTTTCACATGGCAGGGCAGCAGGCACCTGGCACCACCAGGTATAGCATTGATGACTTGCATTTATAATGTAGATTGAGTTTGTGAAGACAAATGCTGTCCAGTTTCATTCTGCTAGAATGAAATTCCATGCTGGTTGCCGATAGTCTGGTGGATTTTCAGCACTGTACACAAATACACACTTAGTTGACAGGTAGTTTTCTTTAATTGGTGGGAGAAGTTTCTTTTCTCTGTAGCCCAAATCTTGGGGACACACAACTGTGGTTCAGGAAACTGACCAAGCAGTTGTCACTGAGATAAATTCATTTTAGTTTATTTTACTCTAAGTAGGCCAGAGTCTCAGCTTGTGCAAACAGATGATAACAGATGGTACCACTCCGTGTAGGTGAGGCATGGCCTGAACACAGAGGGAAGAGAAAGGACCTCCTTGTTGTCAGTGTAGCTCTGCCTTTCTGACTTCTGGCAGGTTTTTTTGCTGTATCTCCTCAGTTTGCCTGCCTGTGGAGCAGAGATAATATTTTTCAGTCCCTGGGGGAAGATCACATACATGAAGGACTTTGGAGATTAAAAGCCCTCTGTACTTAGGTATTACGCTTAGCTTTACACAGAACCAAAGCATGTAGTGCTACCTAACTCTTTTTGCTGCTGTATCTCTTGAGTGGCTCATGCATATCTAATAAACAAGAACTGGCAATGTGTGGCCACTGTAGGGAAAGTGGATCTGTCGGAATATGCCTTACTCCTGGTTTTAGCCAATGGGCAGGAAAATGTATTGCTAATTCTTGCAGGAGTAAACTTTGTTTTTTCTTCAAGCTTCAGCTGCTGAAGTCATGTGAAAGACAAGGGCAGCTGGGGCCAGAGGGAAAATGTCATTTTTCACAGGATTTAATGATGCTAATTGCTGAGTTGAATACTGGTGCTTAAAATTTAATTAGTAGGAATGTCTCAGCATACTACAGGAGTCTCATTTTCCTGATCAGATGCTATATTGATTTTATTTAGGTGAAGGAATAGCTAATCCTTCTCTTGAGATAATTTGCCTATGGCAGAGAATTTTTACACTTCCAAGTGACCAACCTATCTTATAACTTCTTGTGTTAGCATAAGGTAATTGTAGTTCTCCAGTCCTTACAGATGTGGTTATACATGCAGTGGTAGTGTTTATACAGAGACATCGTGCTCTTGTTAGCCAGCTAATACAGCTGGAGCAAGAATCAGGTAGTTTGTATTCCTGAAAGAGTCTCTGTTTGGTTTTTGTTTGTTTGGGGTTTTATGTGTATGTGTGGTTTGGGTTTGTTTTGTTTTGTTTTGTTTTTTCTTTGACAGTACTAGATTATCTGATAAAAGTTACTACCTCTCACAGACAAAATAATAAAAGCATCTGAGGTAGCACTAATCAAGGGCAGAACTCACCAGCTCTTAAAATGTAGTTCTGTGGATATAGATCGAAGAAATCCTGTATGGACGTATTGGGAAAAGAAGACATCTCTAACCATACCTTGTTTGTCCATGAGGTGTATAAGACCTAGCTGATAAGGTTAATACAATGCTACTTTTCTGTCTCGGAGCAGGAGATCAGAAGTGGTAAGACTGAAAATGAGAAACCTGACAAAAGAGGCTGCTCAGTTGGGCTGCTTCTGGTGGTTGCCCAGGCAAAAGCTTTGCCCTTGCTGTGGTCCCTGATGGCCCCCAGGGAGGTGCTGGGTGGGTACCCTGTGCCCTTTGTAGGTCATCGTGTCTCACTGTCAAAACAAGAGAGCATTGAAAATTCCTTGGAAACTGTGACTGTTTCTTCACTGATCTGTAGCTTTCCTTTGGCTGGCTGTGCCTGCTTTTCCTCTAAGGTTTTACCTGGCAATGACCAATTCGATGGCAGATGGGAGATGATCTCAGCTGGAGCAGTACCCTCAGAATGGTAAGCTTGGCTAGACCAACCTGATCACCTTTCATACAGAAGGCTAAAACCTTTGAGGATGTGTCTCTAATTGTGACTGCAGGGTGCTTTACCTTCTATTCTCTGTTGAGTAAGGCTGTGTCTAAAAGGCTGGGACTAGATGTTGCAGCCTTGTCCTGTCTGGTTTACTGCTTGTAGAACAGCAGCATATCTTATTTCTCTTATTTCTGAAGCAGCTGCCTTTCTGCAGCTTTCCCAAAATGTAAAGGTGCAGTTTCACACTAAACTTAATTCACTTTAGCCTTTCAGTGGCAGCCTGTGGTCTGACTTTCAACTGTTCTTCCAGATCAGTGAGCTGAGCTAACCATCTCTACTGCTTCACAGCTGCCAAAGCTGACATTGGGCTGGGTGTGAGAACTCGTGGCTGGTGGGTAAAAGAGGAAGGCAAAAAAGGCAGGCACTTGGACTGGTGGAAACGTAATATGGAACTGGGCTCTGTATCAAGTCTTCCCTTTAAGAGTTTCCAGGTTGACTTGTCATAATTATAATGAGGTTGTAGAAAAATCTCGGGCAGAATGTGTTGTCTTATAAACTAGGTTTGCAGGATCTTAGAATGCATCTCAGGAGATTCATATAAGCCAGGAAATTAACTAAATAAAAATATTCTACTACCTCAAAAGAAAAGAAGGGATGAGCTTGAAGAGGTTTTGTAGCCTCTGGCCTCAAATACTTTGGGCCAGGACTTACAAAACAAAACCTTAAGATTAGTCTTTAAAACTTGGTGATTATTTGATCTTTCTCGCTTAAGTATTCAACAGTTACTTTTGGTATTAGAGGCCCAGAATGACCATGGATTTATGTGGCCAAGCACCTTCCTGTAGTTTTGCTTTGGGAGAATAGCAACACTACATGTGTTTTGCACCTGTCAGCTTCAATGATTTAACAGCAGGCTAGTAAAGGTAGCTGTGCCAGAAACCAAAGGATAAGTAGTTTAACCAGCAGTCATATATACAACTTTTTAGACATTAGCCATCTTTTGGCTAAGTTTGGCTTCCTCCCTCCCTGTTTTCCTCTTGTTTTTCAATTACTTTGGATTCAAATATTACCAATAGTGATGTCTTCAGAGGGTTTTTTTTGAAAGCTACAGCAGGTAAGTTTTGAATTTTTCAGCCAAATAGTTTGTTATATGAAAGAGTTGAAATATCCTACCTCCTGAGTTCAAGGCTTCCTTTGCTATCTTCCTTTTCTTGTGTTCTTAGGGTATTTCTCTGTCTTGTAAAGCAGTGAGCTCCGATGACAGAGTGCTCTCTGTGAAGCCTGGGTGGCAATAATAATAGTGGTATTATTGTTTTGTCCATATATGAACTTCTTTCTCACATGGAAAGAACTGTTTGCTTTGGTTTTATATCCTGTGGTGTATCTGATGAATCTAAACCGTTCCCAGAAGAGTCTTTGTGAGAGCTCAATAGGAGGATTACACACATGCTTGGATTTTGCAGCTGTAAATGCTTTTTGGTAGTGTCAGTGCTTTGGACTGATAAGTGTATTGATGACTGCTGTGAAAATGTCATGTTCTCTTATCTTGCAACTGTAGTGATGGGCAGAATCTGGCATTGTATTTGGGCTGGTGCAACCTAGATAACTCTTGCAAATCCATTTTCATGTGCTCTATGACATGTATGATCCTTGGCAGGCTTGGATAGCTCTTGCTTGTGTCTGACTACTGCAAGGTGCTGTATTTCTCTTTTTCTCCCTTACCACCTCTCCAGCTGCTGTTGTTCTTATGAGGATGGTGGTGGTTTGGAGCAGGTGGGTGCAGTATGACTCCAACAGTATTTTCAAGGATGGGATGATGCTTACTTTTCTGGGAAGTGCTTGGCATGCTTCTGGTGCTGCTGTAACCCCACTTGTGGTGAGTTATTCTGGAGAGAGGAAATGTTTTGAAGGAGCATGTAAGAGGTTTGTGACTTGAGAGCTCTTTGCTTGCTATGTATGATTAAAGGAAGTTCAGAACCGCTTAGGAAATTAAGTATTCCTAACAAACTCTAGAAAGGTTTTGCCTATGTACTTTGTAGACAAAAAGACAGTTTATTTGCAGTCTTTTAAATTCAGACCTACTAAAATGCTCAAGACAGTGAATTAAAAGTCCCTTTCAGATTTCTTTTGTGAGGAGTAGTCTCTCTTTAGTTCTGATCCAGTGCCAGCTATAGCCCTATGGATGACTCCCAGCAATTACTGCCGAGTCTTAATTACTTTTGATGAGACTGATAACAGGTCTGCTAAAGAAAGTTAAATCCATCGGGAATGCCTGCAATTTGCCTTCAAACACTGCCAATTGCTTTAGTTTTGGCAACAATCTGGCAGGATATAACTCCTCAAAATGCATGTTTGCAGTGTTTAAAGATGTCTTTTGGCATGCCAGTAGATTTCTCTCGACACCCCATCAGAAATGATGTTGTATATTTAGGTTTCTCTGTACTATAGGCCCTTTTGGTGAAGAGGGGTGACTTGATAAGTACATGTGTAATACTTGATTTATAGGTTATGTATGTATTTGTGCTTATTAAGGCATGTGATGACTGTGCTGCCAAAAGCAATCAGTTATTTTGTAGAGTTCAAGGTAGGCACTAAATTATACCTTAAATGTTAGTGCAAGGTTAGTACATTCTCAAGACATAAAATTACCCCAAATTTCTGTTCTGTAATACAATGGAGTTTCATACATGATGTTTAGGCCTACTGCTTGGCAAAGACAGGAGTTCTCCAGCTTTTATTTGTTAACAATTTAAACTAAAAATGGTTGTGCATACGTAAATTACTGCTTCCTAATACAAATAACAGTAGTGCTTTATGTGTTCTTTCATTATGGCAAAGAACAAACTCCTAAGAGAGATCAAATAATTCTGTGAGAGACAGAAGTGCATCCACTGTCATTAGCTGTGCATGGTGCCTTTAATTGGTGTAACTGGTGGTTGAATAAGTATTCATTTTGGCTTTTGAAGAATCTCGCTCAACAGACTGGCTTTGGTGTGCATGTTCCAGTATTTATCAGTATACTGGGACTTGTGAGATGTGTTTATGGCAGAGTGATGAAACTTCTGTGACAGCATTGAAGACATGGAGTGAAGTTCATCTTTAAAGCACCTGGGTATTGCTCTTTCCTTATTCATTGTTGAAGATGTTGTAGCAGATGTTGAAGATGTTGCAGATGTGTTGTAGGATGCCAAGTGCTGCATGTTGCTTACGAGGGTTTCAGTGTTACTGCTACTTCGTGTTGAAACCAGGCATTACCCCAAACTTGCTCTTGTTTATGTTACATTGCAAGAGGGATGATTAATGAAAGATTCAAGAACAAAGCATCATTAAAGTGATGAAATAGCATGCTCCTTTTCTGTCAGTGGCATGGACCGGCTTTTATTAGGCAGTCTTGGCTACCTGAAACAAGTTAGTGCACACCTGTACAAGCAACCTGCCAGCTAATGTAGGAGAAGTGACAAAGGAACCGCAATGCAGGTGGTGATGAACAGGAAGCAGTCGGCCACTCTTCTGCCACCACAGCTATTTATTGAGCACAGATCTGTCTGAAGGTAAAACCAGCTTTTGTAATAGAAACCTTCAGTTTTAGTAGATTGAGATGGATAAGATTGCTAAGCTAGGGTTTTTTTCCTAAAAATTCTACCACTGATTTGTTTTCACCTTCACTTCTGTCTTTCATTATGAGAGAGAATAGAGCTGTTCTCTCAGGTAGCCTATTAGTGCTTGGTTTGTTTTCTTGGCTTGTCTTAAAACAGGCAGTATTTAAGCTTCTCACTGAAGAGATTTGTGTACGTCACTGACTGAAATAGAAGATACAAAAGAAAATCAAACTGAATTTGAGACCCTTTTGGTCCTTGTCCTGTGTTTTTCTTCTGAATGTGATGGCTGTGCAGAGATGAGCACTCACTGGAGCGGGAAGGCTGTGCAAGGATCATGGCTTTACTGCATCTGCCTGACAGTAGTGAATATGACTCTTTTGTATCTGCCCTCAACATCATGCTGCCCCCTGTATCATATCTAACAGGGCAAACTTTTCAAGTGGGTACAAAGCCATGCAGGTTAACCCTGCTTTCCAAGCCCCTCTTTTGGCCCAGCAACACCTATACCTCTTGCATAGGTTGTTATGGTTTGCTCCTTATAACAGGCATGCTCTGGCTGTTTCCTCAGCAACCTAGTTTCATGGGAGGAGTTGTCAGGGGACAGGAGGGCTCCTGACACATGGGGAAGCAGCTTGGCACAATGGATGCTTTGCTCAGAATGAGCATTGCTGGAATATTTCCAATGGTATGTAGTGGAGTTGAACAACTGAACCCATAACTCTCCTGCACCTCCACTCTTCCAAACCCTGCAGACTTGGCCAGTGACCACGCTTCAGTATATGCCCTGCTACCTGCAGCCCCTAAAGACAAATGGCACAGTTCTTGCAAGAAGTCATTAACAAGATGTGACTTTTGTGGCTGTGTTGTGTCTTCTTTTTCGTCAGGAGAAAGACAGTATGAGCAGTTACATGCAACCCTAACAGTCTCCTTTTAATGGAAGTCCACTATATCCTTGAATGGAATTCATGATCATGGTATGTCTCTGTATTAGGCACCCATGGAATAAGGTGGTTTATTTGGGATGTAGCTGTGAGGACAGTCAGTCATTATGCATTTATGAATAAAATTGAGACACTTATTCTTGCAGCAGCAGAGGTTTCAAGTCAGTGATGTAGCAGGCTGACCTTTTCCAGTCTCTGTTGCTGGTAAACAGCAGCTTTTAGCATGTGCAAAAGGATTCAGGTGTTGGTGAAAGGACAGATGAGAAATTTCTGAGAACTTGAACAAATAGTGTGAACCAGTGCCTGATAACAGGCAAAAAGCAGAGTTCTTATGTAGTCCTTCATCAAAGGACTCTGTAATGTGCTTTTCCTTCTGAAAAGCAATCATGAGGTCAAGGACCGAATAACATGAGAGCTGTGGTGTGTGTACTATTGAAAGTGTAGGTAAAATGCAAGCCAGAAATCTGCAGGTGTTGCCAGGAATCAAAGTCGGTCTGATCGTGGGTTGCATTTTGTTGGACAGAGACCATGTCTCTGACGATGCAGGTCCTTCTTCTCTGCCCTTGCAACACACTGGGCATTGTGCAGGCAGTGGAGGAATGCACGTTTAACAATCCTGTAACTCACAAATGTGTTTGGATGTGTATGTACACAAACAGGAGTCAGGCTGAATAGCTACAATTTAAGCACTGCTCTAAGAATGTTATTTCCTCATATCAAACCAGGTTGGGTTTCTTATTTATTAACTTCTATTTTAAAAGTACAGCTGGCCTGAAATCTGAATTTCATGTGCAAAGTTCCCATTTCTTGTGTTCTGGCTGGGGGGGGGGTTCTGGCATAGAAAACTCTGAAGAATTTTAATTCAAGGATGTCTGGTTTATTTTTCTATGTTAAGATTCAGTTCAGTGCCCTGACCTGCTGTTCTTTTCAACCATGTTGTAATAAGGGCCTCCGTTCTCACCCTTTCTCCTTTTATGGCACACGCTTCTTAGCTGAGCAACAAATCCCTTGAGAGTTTGCTGAGGGTTCAGGTTGGCATTGACTTCTGTTAAAACAAAATCACTTAAGTTTTCTAATGGAAAACTGTGAGGAAAGATGTAGTTGCCAGTGGAGAACTGTGTAATAGATATTCCTTTTGGTTCCTTTATTTGCAGTTTTTAATTCGAGGTTTTTATTTTGTTTGTTAAAAGAATTTGTTCTTTTCACCAAAACCAAAACACACAGGAAACCCCTCACCGCCTCTATGTTATTCTGTATTCCTATGTTAATGACTGAGCTCTGCTTCAAGTTTCAGGAGCCAGCAAGTGGGGAGTAGGCAGCAGTTCTGGATGTTACAGGAGATTCTACTGCAGGATAGTAGCATCATGAAGGGAAGATTCAAAGAAGCAGTGCAAGAAAGTGTCCAATTCTAGTTACATGGCACATTCCCTGAATTTCAGGAGCAGTAGTGTAAGAAATGTGGAAAGTACTGCTGAACTTGTTGGCAAAACACGGGGGCAGGGTGGTGGTGGTGGTGGTGTGGGCGTTGTGTTGGTGCCCGCTTTGAGTAGATGAGACAGTGACTCTTAACTACTTTTTCCAAAACCTAAACAGCAGCCTGCAGAGAAGATCTGAACTTCTCTGACTCGCTGCTGCAAATTCCTTTCAAGAGTGTTTTTGTGTCTGCGGTGGAAGTGATTGGGATTGCCGTGGGCATTTACTAAATGGATTATTGCTAATGCTGATAAATGCTCTTCCCTTTGTATTTCTACTAAACTTATGCTGGATTCTCACGTCTATTTGTATTTCTTCACTTAATACTGTCTTCTGCCTTACAGCCTGCACTGTTTCCTCCTTTCATTTTTCTGTAAGTAAATTTTTTTGGTCTCAACAATACTTTGCTGATAAGAGGCTAAACACAAATATTTATAACACTGAACAATGTGTGGAGCTTCTGGCATAGACAGTTCTGTCTTCTGTGCAGAAGCATGTGGTAAAGTGGGAAGAAAATCCCCAAACCCAACAGTTTAATTCTTATTTTTGAATTGCTATATCATAGCCATAGTAAGAGAAAAGTGATCAAAAGTTGGAGATAAGAAAGTAGGGAATTTGTCCCCAAGACCATGAAATGAAGCTGTACCTGTAGTTCAAGAGTCAAATAAGGTAAACAAAGCAGTTTTTTAAAAGACTGTCGAAACCACTGGATTGAGTATTAAACAGTGATATTTAATGTGACCATTGTAGATGGGGCTGAGATTTTCTTTTCTCTAACACATTCTTTCTTGTAGCTCTTCAAATTAATCTGCCTACTGTTAGGTTCCATGGTGTTCTTGGAGAACTCAAACTATTAGGAAGTGGCTTGAAAGTGCCCTTTTTCTTCCTCTCATGATTACTGAACATTGAGGTAGTCAGCAGGGTAGGATGCTGTGACAAGTGACTCCCTTGGTGTGGCAGAAGGGTAAAGTGACCTTTATGTCTTTGACTCTGGGCTGCCACAGTGGATGAGGTGGCCTATACCCAGTCTGTGAAAGCTACAGTAGCAGCAGTGAGGATCTGGCAGAAGCAGGTGCATGAAGTCTTCTATGTCCTTTCCCTATGGGAGCTTCCACATTAGCAGCCCACACTCAGAAGTGCTTCCTGAGGTGTGTGAGCCTTTGCCCTCACCTTCACCCAGTACTGCTGAGGCCTGGGTAGTAAACTTGCTATATAGTGATCTGCTTGCTCTTTGTCAAGAGTCAGTGATGAGCTACGTGTCTTTACCTCATTCTGCTGTTTGCATCCCATGTTTGTTCTGAGTTTCACATACATCTTTATTTATCGCCTGTGAAATGTTTCATACCGAAATACGTGTGCCAAAGGCATTTGTAAGAAGTGTCTGCTCCTTCCCACTTCAGGAAAGTGGTAAAGTACTCGGGTAAGCACCAGATATGATGATCCTTGATGTAAGAGAGGGGCTTTTGTATCTCCACAGAGGCAAAGTAATGCTTATATTAATTAAGAGGATTGATTAGACCTGTCTCCTGGATAAAAAGGAAATTAATTTGAGGATGAAGATTAAATCTGTGTGGATACCCAGAAGGACTTCAGACAGGGCATTCGTTAATACCTTGAAAAGAGGTTCTCTTCTTCCTTAATATGTGCAAACAGATTTGTAGGCATGCAGCTAGGTGAAATACTGGTGCCAGGAAAACCTGTGGGAAGTCTGTTTAAATAAAAAAGATTATAGTTTTGTTTTCTCTCAAGACCCTTTTTTCCCCACATATCATTCTACAAACTTTTGACAACATGTTCTTAATTTTTAAACGTTTTGGAAAAAAAGGTGTTTGCATTTGATCTTACCTTGAAGTAACTCTTAAGCCAGAATTACCAGAAAATGTGGTCTTTCAGACCCCAGAAAGTTACCAGTATGAGCTAAAAGTGATACATCCTACTATGTTTTCCAGGGCAGCCAAAGAGCGGCAGTGGAGTACCCAGCATAAATGTCAGCCTTGCCACCCTGCTCTTGTTGATGGTGGAGTCAGGAGATGCTCCTATATGCAGGCACCATGAAGACTCTGCAGCAAGATCCTGAGAGTACTTGAAACCTAAGGGCTCCCAGATCTTTTTAAGTACTCCCATACCTTCCACCAGGCTAGGTGGATACAAGAAATTAAAAATTAATGTTGCATGCAGTATGTATAATTGCAGCATTTTCCTCCACTATTTGTTGCAAGGGAAGTACCTCACCTTAATGACTTAAAATGCCAGGAAGACCATTGCTGTCCTCTGGTACAGGGCAGTTAACAGGAAGAGGAGCTGCAGTGATGAGTTTCTGTTGCCTCATCCAGAAGCATCCCCAAGGGAATTCTCAAACTAATCTCTATTCTCTTGAAAAAAGAAACTGATTTCTTATACATAGCAAGGCATGGGGCTTTCTGAGTTTGAGTTCAGGAAAATCTTTTAGAGAAATAAAATCTTGATATAAACCCAGTGGGAAATACCCCATTCCTGTGCACTGCCTCACTGTTAGAAATGCATGCTTTACTTCTAGTCTGACTGCATCTATGATCAAATGACAGGCCATGGATCTGGCTTCTGTACTTCAGTTTTCCAGATTGCAAATCACCCCTTTATTATGACATTTCTCTGAGGTCACTTACTTGACAGCTTTCTTCTCATGGCCTAAACACTTTCAGGTTTCTTCTTATACCCTCTCCATTTGTGATGGCTTTGAATCTTGAGCCCTGGCACTGCACAGTAGCAGTGTCTCTGTTAAGATACCATAGCTTCGTTATTCTCACTAGAGATTTTCCTATTTATAGGTACAGGGGTGCATTTTTTAGCTTTTGGCAAGACTGTGGCTTTGAATACTTGCACGCAGCTGCTTATCCACCTCCTCTTTTTGGAGTCTCTACTTCCTAGGACGGTGACTGCATCATTCCTACAGATGCTGAGACACTAACTTGTGCTCAGCTTAACTTCAAAGTGATTTTCCTCTAATTCTGCAGTATCTTCCCACTTGCAGTTCTGCATATGTTTGGGTGTTTACTAAACAGTAACCTGAATTATTTTACTTGCGTAAATAGGGAAATGGAGCATCAGCATCTTCAAAAGAGCTCCAGCAATATGAAAAGCAATTAAACAGTGTTTTGTTTCTACCTAACAGGATACATTTAAGATCCAAACCCAGAGAGCCTTTTTGGATGTTTCCCTTGCTGATGACAGCAATAATAGACTTGAGATCCAGACACTGGACACTGCAGAAAGAATATTAGAGGTAATGGGTTTCTAGAATTATGTTGAAACTTCCATTTCTGAGAAGTGGGGGAAAAAAAGAAGATAATTTCGGTCAGGAAGTTATAAAAGACCCTATTTGAAGACATTCAAAACAATCTGTGGTTTTTTGGGGGGGTTTATTGGGGTGGGAGGCATTGCTCATTTTGTTATGAGTGGTTTTGGTTCTTGAACTAGTCTGTAATTTGCCTCATCTTAATGTTACACACCCTCTGCTTCTATGGCATTTGGTTGTCAAATTCAGATTTCCTTCATACATGATAGAAAAGGTATACTATTTCGTATAGGGACACACTCTTAATTAACTCTTCCTTTTGGCTTGGCATAATGAAAGCGCTAAACATAGCACCATAGAATCATAGAACAGTTAGGGTTGGAAAGGACCTTAAGAAATGATGGTCTAGTCTTGACTTATGTCCTGGCTGGTGTGCTGCTGTTAGAACTTGGTGTGCAACTGATATGTTGTGTTTTTCTACATACTTCTCCTTTACTTGTTTTGTGTCACAGAATCATTTAGGTTGGAAAAGATCTAGTCCAACCGTTAACCCAGCACTGCCAAATCTACCACTAGACCATATCCCCCATGACATCTACACGTCTTTTTAAATACCTCTAGGGATGGTGACTCCACCACTTCCCTGTGGAGCCTGTTCCAATGCTTGGTAATCCTCCCCTGATGTTTGCTGTGAAACTGTGGGACTTCCTGTTGGTGCAGTTCAAGTACTGTGGCTGTGGGATGTCCGTAACAGCTGTTGTAATACATACAGTAAACACTTGCTAGCTACATTTTGAAACCAGGAGCAACCAAACGTTGTTTATACAACTGGTTGGCTTGCATCTGAAACTTTCAGATGGGACTCCCTTCATATGCCAGGAGAGGGGGAGCAGTGGTGACTCTGCATGTTTTGTGTATTTGCATGTGTGTGTGCACAAGCAAGGCTGAAGTCTCTGCCTTGGTTGCTTCAATTTCCTAGTCTTTACAGCAATAACAAAGCATACACCTGCCAGATGGGAGCTCATTTTTTATGGGAATCTGAAATTTCCTCTCATCATGCAGGAAACTGTGTGCTGTATTTCTGCTGTGCCTTTGCAGGCTGAGTTTGTGGAGGTAGTTCTCAGCTGGCCATAGGTACCAGCAAGCTGAACACGTGTTTGCTTTCCTCCATCAAGCTGGCATGGTCTGGCCATGTCAGATACACGCAGTATCTGTGCACAGTTACCATGAGTTGGATAACACAAGGTAACCCCTTGCTGGCTTTGTTCTGCCCTGGGGTTTGCATCACCTGAGGCAATGCTAGGACTGGTTCTTCCATGGGAAGGTGTCAGAGTTGGCCTTAGACCCTGCAACAGGAGACTTGTGGTGTGGGAAATGCTGAAGGCAAAAAGTGTTGGGGATTGCAGGAAGATAGGAATTTTGATTTTGGGGGAGAGCAATATAATAGATTGGAAGAAGTAAGGAGACATCTTTTAGATAAGAGGCTTGCTTAGGGACCTTAAGTAAGGAAAGGATTTGCTAATATACTTTAAAAAATAGTAATAATTTGGGCTTGATTAACTTGTTAGCTTGCAGTGGGTCCAGATAACTTCCAAGCCGGGCAGTGATGTTGTATGTTGCTTTGTCTATTGCATTTATAGACACCTAATCTTTATGTGGTGCTGTAAAGAAACAATGGCATGTTAAATACTGCAGACACCATTTCTTCCTTAAGAAGACCTTAAGGTTGAGATGATAGAACTTCTAAGCACTATTTAACTCCTGTGATTGTATATGTGCTGCTACACTGACTGTCTTTTTTGCAGTGCAGGTAGATTTTGCAATGGACATTCCCTAACATCCTGGTGCTCAGGCAGCATATACCAGCTTGTGCTTTGATCCGAGAAATAAAATAAGTCAAAATCCTACTGAATGAAAGATGTGTGTTTGACATTCCTGGGAAATGCCATCCAGTATCCTTAGCATTTTGCTACAAAGGGGACTTCTTAGCACAGAGGCAGAAAGAATGGAAGACGGTGCTGCTAATACTCACTTTTATGTCTTTTATACTTTTTGAACTTCTGTAACTCTCTTCCCATTATATTTGGTGTCTGAACTGAGTGTGAGGCAAGTGATTTTTATGCTCTGCTGCCCTCTCTGGTAACAGCCCTCATATTAACAAGTATAAGGAAAACTTCATGAATGTCTTCTTCAACTTTAACTTGGAACAGTTCTTCCCAACCTATATTGAGCTCAATGTCTACTTTTTTCCATGCACAAAAAAAAAAGCCTGCTTTTTAAACCAGCTGATACAGCTGAAGAAAACCCTTCTGAACTGTGGAGATGATTGAATTTACAATGCTACCACATAGAAGTGGTTTGGGATGGTCACCCTTTGGAAGAAGACTGAAAACCCGTATTTCCACCTTATGCTCAAAGAAAGTCCAGCTTCTTTGACCACAGCATGACTCCTCCATCAGGTTGCACAATCTGCCACATGAGCTATGGCAGGAGTATTCTTGGGGGTGGAAAGTTTTCTTACAGCTGCCACACCACTTTCCTGAGAGATCTTGGGAGATTATGGTCACTGCAGGATTTAGGAATGCTCTGATGGCACTGTGCTCTTTTAGGTTACGGCTGCTTTGACTTATGCTTTTATTTTTCAGGACCTAAACCAGAACTAGACAATTGCCCCCATCTGATTCAGCAGTTTCTGTGCTCACCTCTGCCTGATTTTTCTGTCTCCATTAACCCATTCTGCAGCTGGTCCTGCAAATAAGTTCATCTTCTGTTGGTGCTGCTTCATATCCTCTGAGAGGGCAGGGCAAGCTAAAACAAATCCAGATGTCAAGCTGGTAGAATTTTTCCTCTGTATGCAATAATGAAAGCTCAACGGACCTCAAGTCTGCTCTTGTCAGAAGCCCTCTTGCAGAATTGTAGAATCCTGCAAGTAAGACCAGTGCTTTCAATAAATAGGCAGGGGTTTTAGATATTTCCTAGAAAAACAGAGGACTCTATCAGCTCAGAAGATGCACACATCCTGTAAACATACATATTTGTAATTCTCCTGAGCAATGTTGTTAGCTCATAGCACACAGTGCTCACTGTACAACACCATGTGAGGATTTAGTAATAAAAGATTTGGAAGAACATGGCAGATGCCTTGTGGTAGAGGATACTTAAATGCATAACAGAGCAGTAAACATTTTCTGGTTTGTTACATTTTTATGTTCTTTTGAAACTTAGAAACTCCTTTTTTAAGTTTGAAACTCCTCACAAACTCAAATGCTGCAATACAGGAGTGGTTATATTTGCTTTTAAACAGGCAATTAAATGGGACATAAGGAAAAAAATATTCAATACTTTCTAACATATTCCTGCTAATGGGTAGCTAAGTTCCTCATCTTTGTTTTTAAAGGTTACATTGTTCAAGATGGGGCTATCAAGAGAATTAATGAAGTATTTTAGCTTATTTTTCTTTCAAGATCATGACAATAGAGTGCTCTCTGGTAAGTTTTACATTGTGCTTAAACCAGCCCTCCCTTAGATATTGTGTTGTCTGAAGTGACTGAACCTGGAGTCTGAACAGAGCTTGTATGAGCCTGCTCAGGCTGAAAGACCCACCCTGTCTGATAAACCCCCTCCATTCCTCTCTCCACATAGCTTGGAAAGAGTGGTAGTGGGGAACGAAGTATGGCAGTACATTGTGTGGTACAGGGGTGAGACCTTCACATACAAGTATCATGTTCCTTTTGGTTTACGCAACATGTAGCAACTTTGCCACATGGGAACTATTGGGTGTATCTTCTCGGTAGGTATTTAATCAGATGGCCATACCTACATGAAACAGTTCTTAATTTACAGATCACATGCTGAGTTTAACAATGGGACAGGAAACTCTTTTGTTATATTTCTAAACAATGTCTGTGGCTTACTTTCCTTTGTATTATGACATGTTTCCTTTCTTAACTGACAGAAATGTAAGTTTAACCACACCACGAGGGCACTGAGCAAGCTATATCTCAGGGTTGTGAGTCTCTGTGGTCAGTGTGAAGGAGCTTTTCTGTCCTCATTGGTCTGTTGATGTCCTGTTTCCCATGTGGGCAGCTGTGTGGATGAGGCTGGATCCAGACCTGGGATGGGGTAGGCTCGGGTCACATCAGGAAAGTGAACACAGTGTTTGTTTTTGACTGGAGAAAAGTTTGGCTTTGCAGCCTCTCTGTGTGGCCTTAACAAGTCATTTAGCCTTTTTTCTTCTCATTGGTATAAAGTTGTTAATGCTCTTCTGAACCTTCTCTAGATGAAAGTCCAGTAGTAAAATCAGGCTTACTCAGTGGCATAGGAACTTTACTCTTGTGTCTATTTGATATGTTGTTCCCCTGCCCCTTTCTCTCTGTCTGTGAAAGGTATCTCTGAGTATACAGAATCCCTGGCTATTACTGTGTCTCATGTATCTGGATATAACACATTTTATATACTTTTCTGTGGTTGCAGATGGAATTATTTTTTCCTTGCACTGAGATATAATCAGATACACAACATAAGATAAAAGTCTTTCAGTTAATTAAATTTCAATGCATCTTCAATATTCCTTTCAAATACATCAAGTCCAAATGTAACCCACAGTCCACTGCCAAAAAATGTTTGATGCTTATATGCTTAAAATGACATGTTTGGGTGTTCTGCTGAATTGTGGTATTAGCTTAGAAATAATTGGTTACAGGTTTGGGCCTTCAGACCTTTTTAAGAGTGAGCAGGAAAGTAGTGACTTCTGAAGAGTGACATGCTTTTCTTGCTGTACATTAGTTATACTGCTTGTCTGGTGTTCAAGAAAAACACCAGTCCTGGGAGCTTGCATCAACATCTTTTCAATGCAGAAACATCTATCCTGCTTAGCTGTGTTCTGAGAGAAGGATATTCTGTAAGACCATAGTCTAAGGGAGCAGAGATATTCTGTAAGTAATAGAGCTATGTAAGTTTACACTCGGGAAGTGAGGAAGATAACTAACCTCTCTCCATGCTTTACCCAGAATTTAATTTTGTCAAGTTTCCTGCTTCTCCAAAAGCACACTGGTAACCAGTACTAACTGATAAATGAGAGCAGTGGGGCTGTTTCACTGACTGTCTCTGGTTTTTCTTCTTTTCCCAGTGATGAAAAAAGTGGCAGAATTTGAACTTCCTTATGTGAGTTTTCAGAGCATGAAGGAGTTGTACTGTAAGCTTGGGATCAGAAAATGGTGAGCAACAAGCTTAAGAGAAACTACCAAGATGCGTGAATGGAGGAAGAAATCCCTTGAATAACTTGGCTACAAAGTCTTTAAGCCTCAGCAACTTACCTATTTTTCTCTGAGGCCAATTTGTTACTGAAATTGGCTGGCCCTGAAGGTTTTATATTTTATCACTGAAAGTGTCCTTTTCTCCAGCTAGTTATTTATTCCCTCTATTCTTTCAGAACCTAGAGAGGTACTTTGTAGCTGCTTTCCTCCTAACTTTTATACCTGCATAATGCAGTGATCACAAATTGGAATATACTTGTAAACTATATAGAAAAGAACTTTAAGTTCTGAGTTGCAAGCTGCAACTCTGGGCAGAGAGAGGTTATTTTATATCAGAAGTGTTCATTTCTATATGCTAATACAAAAGATACCTGAGGCCATAGCTTGAACATTTCTTTTGGTAAGTGGCCTGGCTTAAGCAGCAGTGCACTCTTCCCCTTTCATTTGCTCAAACCTTGGGCTCCTCCTCAGTTATGCTGGTAGAACTGTGTGGCAGACATGGTGAGCTGGAGTGGAGAGCTAGCCTGGCCTAAAAACAAGTTGCTGGCTGTAAAATTTATTTGGTTTTGCTGGCCTATTTTTGGCCCTGGTCAGTTCCCCAGTCTTGTTTGCTGTGCAGCAAACAGTTATGCTGACTGGTGGGTGAGGATAAACCCAGGGGACAGTGAATCTGGTGCCAAAGTCTTGCTTGTTCAAATAGTGCCCTGGGGGTGCAGTTAGGCAGTATAGCTGAGCCAGGCTAATGGCTCACAACTGTGACTGTGGCATGGTCTGTTCCCTACAATGAAGAAGAAGAAAAAAAGGTTTTTGCACGCTTAGTGAGTTGTATTGGCTGCATCAAATGAGTGCTAGAGCAGCAACCATGATTGGGAACAGAAGAGGAAGAACAGACCATATCTTTTGGTGATAGCAAACATCAAACCACAGAAACTTGTTTGATGCTTGTAACTTGTCTGGTTTAGATCTACTGGGCTAGAGCTTGACCTCTGCAAAACTTTCTCTGTTTCTTTATATGTGCTCTTACAAACTGCAAAACCTAGCAGCCTAATAGAAGAACTGTATGGTTCTAAGGCATGACAAAGGGACTGTATGAGGAGATACTTCTCTCATGCAGCTGCAAATCACAGAGGTAGGAAATGGCAGCTCTGGGGTGGTTTGTGTGCTGCAGGAAGTGTATTACCTGCTTAATGTAATGCAGCTGGCCTGCTGTATTCATTCTGTCATGTAGACTTATCTAAGCTGTCTTCGAGAAGACAGCTCAAGCTACTAGCTGTTGCAGCATGGCACTTGGATAACTGAGTATTTAACTTGCTTTGTTGCTGTACTGCAGCAATTCTACAGTAGCTGGTATTGCAGCTGGCTGGTGTACGGTCTTGTATGTCAGCACTGCAGCATGGCACTGGATGCTCTCAGAGTCTTACCAACTTTTATGTAGACAAACCTTGAGCTGCTTGAGAAAAGGAAGAGGGAAGTTTTAGTTCTAAACTGCAGCTGTTATGTTTGGTACCACCAAAATCAAGGTGGAGAGACTGGATCACCAGACTTCAGTTTATTTCCATTCTGCTATAGTGTATAAAGAATAAGCATAGTACACACTTCAGAGGCATAACTGGTTTTTGTTTTGTTACTCTGGTAAGTAATGGGATCTTTCCAGGTTGTGCTCCCATCATATTTCTCTGAAAAATCACAATGCCAAACTTGGAAGCATATCTACGTATTTTATTACTTTTCTTTTTTCCCGTTTGCTTGGAAAAGGTATATGGATTCTTCTCTTGACACAATGCTGATGGATTGTACAGCTTCACTGAATTTGCTATATATGCAGGTAAAGCTGAAAGGTCTTTGTAATTTTGAAAGCTATGAAAGGTGTTTGTAATTTTGAAAGCTATCTTTCCAATATTAATATTTCTTGAAATGTTTGTAAATGTTTAGCACTGCTTTGTTGTGCTTTTCTAAGTGCTGGGTGTAGCTGTGGTTGATCATATTCCTTTTCCCCTCCAAAATCATGTGCTAGAGATTCTAACTCATCTATGTTTTGTGCATGGGAAAAGTATTGAATAAAAAAAGACACATTTAGGATATTTAGGTATTTGTCTCCTCTGTTTTCAAGTGTATATGGATGTATCTGTATCTGTAATATGTAGGCACTCTGCCGTCCTGTGAGAGCATTTGATTTCTGAACTGTAGGTGTGTTGAACTGTACTAGCTTTGGAAACTGTTAATTCAGGAGGAAAGAATAGTGTGGAGTGAACTTGACCTAAAATCAAAGGCCTTGTTTAAAAAAAGCCCTCTGTGTGTGTTTCTAAATGTTTGTGCACAAAAGGAAATACGTTTTTGTTGACTTCTTTGGCTATTTTAAAAAACTCTCTTAAGGCAATCCAGGAAGTTGAGAGGAATTGGGTTAAACCAACAGAAGAGCAGATGCAGGAACTTGGATTCCTACAAAAAAAAAAGGCAAACAAAGTAAAGGTAAAATGGTATCCTAAAAATAACATAAACAGATGAAAGGGGTGGTTTTTGAAGCAATGATGTGACTTTAAAAATAGAGCATGGTTTTGTGGAGTGGTTTGAGCTAGAGAGCCAGGTCTCCCATATCCTGGTCAGATACTGAGCCACCAATAGGAAAGGAGGTTACCATCCCTGCTAGCATTTTAAAATAACCGAACAGAATTCCTTGGATCCTGAAGGTTAGCAGGAAGTTTTTGACTGTGAATGCTATTCTTTATTTGCTGAACTCGGATGCAAAGTTTTGTCATCCAGATTAGGAGATCAGATGGAAATTCAGAGTGCTGGGACTACTGTTCTCATAGTTCTTACTGGTTAGTTTTTTGTCTTCCTATCATCATATCTCATAAGCATCCAAAAGACTCAACTCATCGTATTCAATGTGTGTGTGTGTAGAAATGAAGTTTCTAAGTCTGGACCGTGAGTGCTATTCTCTGAATCAAGCACCGACATACTGTGGTGAATCTATGTCCTCCCAGGAGAAAGTGTTAGGAATCTGAAAGATTTGTCTTTATAAGTCACTAGATTTCACTTGTCTTTACAGAAAATCATTTCAGTTCTGTCTTTTTGGTGCAGTTCCTGGAGCTGATTTGAGAAATGCAATTCTATGGATGCGTACGGATTGATCCTTGCATTTGTGACTATCCAGAAGAAGGCTGTTCAGCTGACATCATTGTCGGCAATAATGAGATTCACTGCTGTATAAAACTTCCTACTAACCAGACCAAAGAGGTCAGCTTTAAAATCAACAGGTTAAGAAGCTGACAGGTTACTTTTCTTGTAAGTACTTCACCGATTCTGTGTCTGAATTCATTTTTTCTTCATGAAAACTAAGGTAGATGGGGAAGGGCAGATCTGGGGAGAAGGGGTGGTCTGTTTTAAATCCCTTTCACTTGCCCATATTTCCCTCCAAACCTGTTCTGAATCATACTCCCTTAGCAGCCTTTATAGCAGCAACCATCTAAGCTTACTCTGCTATATTTCTCCCTTCTGTGGTATTTCATGTTATACTGTACCTGCCACTTTGCTTTCCTGTTGGAGTTGTCAAGAGAGTTTTGCATGGGAGCAAAACTGCTTTAGCCACCTTTAGACTTCTAAAGACCCCATTGTCCTACCTCCTACTTGCACCCTGCCTGAGAAGTGTGCTGGTACAAATTTCAGCTGCTTTATTTATATGCTATATAAAATGAACCTAATTGATTAATTCTGATTTAAGGCTGAACACCTTGATGTTGCTTTTAGTAGTTTCTTCTGTCCATTGGAGGGTTTTGGTTTTGTTTTACAGAGTGCTACAAAGGATGGTGAAGAAGACACTCTGGAGCTTAGATTTGAGTACAATGACTCGGGCACATGGCAGTGGAGAATTTTGTACACAAAACAGGTCAGTTCCCAGTCCTTTTAGGATAGGATCAGATTAAAATGTATCTTCAGCCATAAGGCATCTTCAGAAGTGGCTGATCTATCTCTACCAGAGAGCAGCAGTGATGCTTTCAAGCAGGTTAGCCTGGTGACAGAGTTATGTGGGAGAAAGCGTTTGAGTTCCTAGTGTAAGAGGAGGAGAATTTTTGTTTTCCATTGAAGAGAAATATCTAGCAATCAGCAGCAAGCCTGGGATGAAGTGTGGACAGGAGCCATTTATATACTGGTCTCAGTAAGTATCCAAAATCATTAATTGGTCAGACCTACCTAAGGTCAAGGGCTCCCATTTTACACAAAAATCTTATTGTTCAAGTATAAATATGCCATGTTAACACAGGCTAATGGAGGGTGTGAATATATGACATTGTAAGTATATTTTATTTTACATATAAATAATTCTTAAATAAGATTTTATAGGGTGCCAGTCCTCCTACTGTTTTTTCAGGCAGCTCTTTAAAGATATCCAGGAATTCAAGTCATCCATCTGTGGTTATGCTGCCTAGCAAATAATCCAGACTCTGCGATATCAAAGACAGCACCAGTCTCAGTTTAGGTACAGAGCTTCTATATAAAGTGCATAGCCTGCTATTCAAGTAAACTGCTTTTCTTTCTTGCTTCTGAAACCAACCCAGCAGCAGAAAGGATTTTTCAAGTAAAGCCAAAATGCTTAATTTATCACACATGACTTCTTAATTCCAGGGTGATGATGTAGTTCACACAGCTATTTAGTAAGTGTTATTTTCCTTCCACACTTAGGTTTTATGAGAGCATGAGCCATAAGCAGTAAGCTTTCTAATTTCTTTGCTGCTGGAGAGAAAAAACAACCCCAAACCAACCTAATTCAGTATAAATTCTCTGTGAAATCCATTAGGGTTGTGCTTGATGCCCTGACATGTTGATTAGCAATCCTGTGTCCCATTTTGCTCAGAAGTGTGAGGAAGAGCTAAAGGCCAGAAATATGCTTCTATGTGGAAGAAAGAAGGGTTTGATGCAAGAGCCCACTGCAGAAAATGGCATGACTGGATGATTTGGAGCTTAATCAGAGATGGTTCCCCCCTTCATCACTGATGTTGTAGAATGTTTTGTCTTCAATTCATCTTTTGGTGCTTGATACCCTACCTGAGATGCTGCTTTTTGGAGAGTAAACAGTGAGGTGCAATTCAGGGTGAAATTCAGAACTTAACTTGGGCTGCAGTATCCCAACGAGTTGTACGGGCTTATCAGACAGCCTAAGGAACTAAGAACACCACCGTTCCTCTCTGAGGTGCCTTTGTTAGGTACCCAATATGTTGGATGAGTGCATACTGCTCTGTTTGTATTAGGTGTGCAAGATGTGACTCTGAGATGGTCTACAAACAGCTGCAGCCTTCTCACGTAACCACCAGGCTTTTGATTTTTGACAGTGCCGAGTGCCTGTGAACTCCAGCTTGCGTCATTTGTTGAAGTGGTCTTGATGCTTTTGATTAACCTTACTTAGTCCTTCGTTTAATTTAGCAGCCTTTAAGGTAGGAGCCACAGACAACTAGAGAGAATAACTTGCCTTACAAAGCCAGTCATAAAAATTCTTATTCTCGACTCTGAGCATTGCTGTGAGGGTTAGTCATGCTGAGGCTGGGCTTTAAGCAACTGCAGCAAATCTGGTGCACTGTGGGGATGCTAAGCACAGAGTAAAATTAACTGACTCAGGGAAGTAATAGTTCAGTATTAGGGACTGCAGTTTTCTGGTGGAGGACAAATGGAAGAGTTGAGTACATCTTTTAATAGAAGAAATCAGAATGTTCTGTGGTTTATCCTTTTATCTTCTTTAGGCCTTTTTGCTCAGTAGCTGCTTGAAGAAAATGGTATCAGAGCAGATGATAAAGGCAGCCAAAGAAAGCCAAGAAACAGTGAGCATGTGTGTTTGTTGGTGTCAGAATTTGTATTTAAAAGAAATAAGTCTGCTACTCTAACATTCTTTCAAATGTGCTGAGAGAAGTCCCATTGAGAAAAAGGATCTTACATGTTCCAACATTTCAGTAGAGAATGAATTGACTAAAAAGTACATCTTTGGTCAGTTTTACAGAAATAAACCACCTTTAACATTTAAAATACTATCATCAGAGATTTAATAATCTGTTTTGCCTTCCCTCCTTGACTTAAATTTTTGCTGTGTATGATAAAGGATATCTGTGGCATAATTTTCATATGTTCTGCACTACCCTGTTGTATCCATTTCTGGCTTCTGCATTTCCCCCCCACTTCACTTGCTTGCTCCATCTGCTGCAATGTTAGACCAATTTGAGATCTGTGACATTCACACTGAGAAACATTTTGGGTTTAAATAGAAGTGTTAATTAAATGAAATTCAGGTTTGTAGCTAAAATACTTCTGCTATCTTTTGTGTAGCCTTTAAGGATGAAAATGTTTAGATACTTGTTATTTGAAGAAATAATTTCCAGCATTAAAAATGGCTTTGTTTAACCTTGTGCTACCTAAAGATTTTGAATGTCTGCTAACTGAAAACTTCTGAAGAGAAAAAAGGGAAGGAACATGTGTGATCTTCTAGACCCATGCTGATTACAGTGAGCAATGAGGCAGTGAACAGCGTGTTATTTCATAGTTTTAAAATAGAAATGATTCAAAAGAAAAGACCAATTTTAATTTTGGAATAGATTTGACCTCTCCCAGTTTATTTGTAATGGAAGTACAGTAAACATTTAATTATGAAGATGACCATTCATTACTTTAATATTCAGCTGTTGCTAGCATTGCTTGGACTTGATTAGCTTGGACTAAAACAGAATTATGAGAAAGGTAACTATGCTAGTTCATTTCCTACACTTTCTGCTGGGTTTAACTGAATGCTGCTTTGCTCAGTGTAATTTATGACAGTAGTTGGGGGAGCATTCAATCTTATTGTAAACTTGAATTTTTCAATCTGTTTAGGAGATGAAGATGCCTGAATGCATGATAAATAGTAAGAAATCCAGCATCCAACAAAAGCAGGTTAGTGAGTGAGAAATTGTCTCCAAGATGTAAATACAGCGTGTAGTGCTTGCTAGTGCTGTTTAGCCCAACCTCTGTTTTTCTGGTTAGGGAGACTCCTAATAAATTTAATATGAACTTCTTCAGGCAGCAGAAGAAGCTAAGCTTGAACTTATGGAGAAAGAAGAGGGCAAGAAACATGCCTGAATGAAAAATTTACTTTGGCTGGGGTTTAATGACAACTTGCTTCATTTTATTGCTGTTTGAAGGTGTTTCTGAATGAGACGCTTGAGGTTAAAGAGAGTATATACAGACTGTGTATATCTACATGCAACCCCTGATGTAGTTGACGTACTTGGATTCCACACTGGGATTGTTTATGCATGTGGATTGCTCTTGATTTTCCTACGAAATCTGACTGCTGCACTGGATTGTCTATTCAAACAATAATTTATCGGCTGTTATGCTGATCTGTTATTATCACTGTACTCCTACAAAGAGGGTAGATTAAATATTAGGAAGAAGTTCTTAAGTGTAAGGATGGTGAGGCATGGGAACAGGCTGTCCAGAGAAGCTGATGATGCCCCATCCCTGGCAGTGTTCAATACCAGGTTGGATGAGGTTTGGAGCAACCTGATCCAGTGGAAGGTGTCCCAGCCTGTGGCAGAGGGGCTGGAATTAGATGATCTTTAAGGTCCCTTCCAACCCAAAGCATTCTACAATACGATTCTATGATGTGTTACCACATTTGGAACTGCCATTCAATCTGCACCACACGTAGTACACTGCAATACGCCTTAAGAGCAGAAACAACTGTTCTTTTGTCCTATTCCAGCAGGGAAAATAAAATCTGTTCTCTCAAGTATCTCTTAGAGAGATCAATCACTGCTCCTTAACAGTATCATGTCAGACTTCCTAGCTTAATTTTGTATTTGCCTATAATTACTGAAATACATATACTCTTTAACTATTGTTTCACTGCAGGTAGTTCATTCAGGTTTTATATCAAGGAAAAGATTGTTGGTTAGGCCAAATGAAGATGACTGTGTATTTGAGAAAATAGGAGAAGAGGACCTGTAATAATTTATTTTGGATATTTTCTTTCAAAATTAATTGTCTGGGAATAATAAAGCTGTAGTTGAAACTTTGGGGAAATTTTTTTTGCCCTTATAGTTCAATCTTCAGTGTAATTCCTTGCCTTTGCAGAGTCCTTTGTAGTATTTACAACTCTACTGAACCAGTTTGAAAAGGTACTTGGAGATGTCTTACATGGATACTTTTTTGGCTTTTTTCCCCCCAGACTGAAAATGTTGGAGCAGAAAGGGGAGGGCTAATTAGAAATGGTGCTATTAGAGAAAGAAAGAATATTTACCTATCAGTTATGTTTCTGTGAGTATTGGGGTTAGGGTGATGGCTGAGCAGGCTGTTGCCACCTAGACATTTATTTGGAAAATGCATTCCTAGTGAGTGGAAAAGGATTTCCTACAATCATCCCTCTTATCAGGGCCAGTGGTTCCTTTCTGGAATGTGGTGCTGATGTGATGCCCTTAGTGACCTGTTGAGTCAGTGCCTTAGAGACCTGTTGAGTCTCCAAAGCTACTACGCTTTGGAGAATTGAAGTTAACCTATGTCACTACATCAGAAGTTGCGCTGGTTTACACTGATGACACTGAGGAAAGCAAGTACCTGAGGTAGCTGGATAAAGGTAGGCATGCCGTTAGCCACATGCCTAACTTGGCTACTACTGCAAGGAGACTAAAGGGCCTAAACCATGATATTCTCCATACCAGAAGGATCTGGGTTCTTCTTAATGTTTTGCCTTTGAAAGGCAGGATCAGCTGTGAGAAAAGGGGAAGGAAGTGAAAATCATAATAAGAATTAAAAAAGACCCCAACAAACCCCAAAGCCCCACTAATGTATTTTGGGGGAAGTCAAATGCCTTCAGCCCTTTTGTATACTTACACTCACAGCACCTTGATGCTGGACACGCTCCAAGGGCAGAGGAGCTATACCCTTGCCTGCGTTTTCAGCTATGCAGTAGCACACGCAGCGGTATAAAAAACACAGTTTCCCCCAAGGAGTAGTTAAAACAACTTCGTGACGTTTCCTTTAACAAAAACAGTCAACTACTCCATTTTTGTTAATTTTGTTCTTCTATCCCCCAGCCCCTCGGTTCGTTCCATTCGGGCTGTTGCCCCTCTCCCGTCATTTTCTGTCTCTCACTCTTCGTTTCCTACTGTGCCAAGGACGTCCCAGGGGAGGGGTCGAGGGTCCCGTTGCAGCCCTCGCTCCCGCTGCAGGGTTTATTTCCCGATGCGGCCGGGTAAGCGACTCAGAGCACAGCAGCAGCTGTAACCGCACCCTCCTCTCGGGGCCGGGGAAGGCGGTGCCTCCCCACCGCGGCTCCGGGGCGGCGGCAGCGCTGCGAGCCGCCGTGTGTCCGCTCCTCTCCGAGCCGCACGTAGCGGGAGCTTGGAGCGACCTCCGCCCAGCAGGGGGCGCGCGCGGTCTCCACCGCGCTTCTCCTTCCCTGTTGGCTCGGCTGACCCGCGCCGAGCCGCCGCCGAGGGGTAGGTACGGCGGGGGATCCGTCTGCCGGCCCGCGGGGAGCGCCGGGGTGGGTCGGTCTGTCCGGGAGCGGAGGGGAGGGGTGGGCGCCGTGCCCGGGCCTTGCCGAGCACTGCGCGCCGCGGAGTGGGGGTAAAGAGCAGCGGCACCGGCCGCCCCGAGGCGGCAGCGCTGTGGCCGGAGCGGCGGCGGGGAGCGGGCCGCATCCCTGCCCCAGGCCGCCGGTGAGGGCGGCGGCGGCGGCTCGGCCGGGGGAGCGCGGAGAGGGCCCGGCCGTGACAAGCACGGCGAGCGGCGGCAGGAGAGACACTGGGCCGAGACCTGCTGGGGAGCGGTGTCGGTGCCGCGCTGGTGGGTTTTGAGAGCGGCGAGCGCTGCGGGAGCTGCGGCCGCGGGAGGGGGACGGCGGCAGGACAGGGGCTGCGTCCTGACAGGGCGTTAGTGAGCGTGCAGGCCTGCGGCCTGTTTGAGCGTATTGCTGGGGGGGTAACAGGCGATAAAAGAGACTAAAAGGCAATGCGTGGTTTTGCTTTTCAACCTGTCCTCAAAGCTGTCTTTGATAAAGTAATTGCTGTCTTTAAGGGAAATGGAGTAGTTACTTTTTTCCTTAGACAACACTAAAGTTTTTGATCAGCTGCTGCAAAGGGTCTTAGTATTGTGCTGAAAAAATAAGGATTATACCCGAGTTGTAAAGAGGATGGGAAAATAACTTGAGACAAACTGGTGAGCAGTATTGAAAAGAAACTCCATCAAGTGTGAGAATAAAATTAGTTCTTTGAAGATCTATCTTGAGACCAATCTTATGAAAATTTAAATAAAGATCATAATGTAGCAATTAAAACTTCAGTGGTTTAATTTGGTAGTGATGAAGGGTTGGGAGGCATTGGCAATACAGAAGAGGGTACTAGACAAAGAGAATTCAGTGATCCTGAGGGCTGGAGTTTGAAATATAGAACAATAACAGTTTAAAGAGCATGGGTTTGCATGGTAAGCACACAGTTTATAGATGAAGTTCTTACCCTTTGAAAGCAACACAAACCCAAAATATGTTTTAGGTAGTCACAGGGTGTACGTATAAGCACATGGAATATTTCAGGAGGCATTGCTTTATACGTGTACAGTGATACATGATCCCTGATCCATTCAGCTTTCTGTAGTACAGATGACAGACAGGCTGATAGGCCTGTCTTTGAGTGCATGAGCCTTGTCCAGCAAATTTCAGTCGTGGCGTTTACTGAGATTCTGCTGTCACCTAAGTGAAGACGACAGAGGGCACCATTTTGCTGCTCCAACTTGGTGTACCCACATCTGGGGAAGTTGTGTGTTTCTGATCTCTGCATCTGAAGGATACAGCAGGTTATAGGAGGACAACTGAAAGGGCCAAAGGACTGGAAAGCCAGGATTGTTCACATTAGAGAGGAGACGGCTGGGGCATGACCAAGACTTACGAAATGAAGGCAGTGGATAAAACGAAAGTTATTTCATCCAGTCTTGCAGCGCTGGGATGGGGGTTGCTTGCTGGGGCGGCTGGCAGGGCAGTTTAAGGTGGCTATAGGCAAGGACTTCAGTGGGTGTGATGGGGAGTTGTGGAGGCAGTGTGGGCAGGTTCAGCAAGGGATTAGAAAAGCTGACAGGAAGTCTGTTGAGGGGCTGCTAAAAGGACGAGTTGGAGGTGGCTGCTGGGGTGTGTTTGGGGAATAGGCTGCAGTTTGCAGCCAGCCTCATGTGCTCTCCCAAAGACGGATCTCTGATTGCTGAAAGCAGAGTGCTAGGCAAGCTTGATCAATCTCATCCAGGACAGCAGTTTCTGTGAGCTTGTGATCAGTCTTTTCAGTGGGAGAATTTTAGTTCTGCAGGGTTTAGTTCTGGGTTCTGAACTGTTAGAATTTCCATGAACAGCCTAGAAAAGGCAGTGAGCAACAAGGTGCTAGTGTTGGCTGATAACGGGTAGCAAAGATAAGATTTGCTATGAAGAGCTGCAGAAGGACCCTGTAAGTCTGAGTAATTGATTACTAAATGTAATGGCACATGAATTTAGTATAGGGAGAGTGATTCAGATAGCATAAAAAGAATCCTAACTTCCCATATGAAATACTGGTCTCACAGTAATGAGCAGTATTTTGTAGTTACATTGTATGGTTCCATGAAAATGTAACCACAATAATCAGCAGCAGTCAAAAAGGCAAATCAGATAGTGAGTATTATTGGGAAACACATAAAGAACAAACCAGAGAATCTTGTTGTGCCACTGTGTTAATCCATGGTTAACCTCAAACGCCCTGTGTGGTTCCCCCACTCCATCTTCCAGCTCAGAAAGCATATAGTAAAAAATAGCGAGATTAGGAGAAGCAAAGCAAGAATGGTCAAAGACACAGACCCCCTTAAATATAGAGAATGGCCAAAAAAGCTGAAACTGTAAAATTCATCCTGATTTCTGAGGAGGATATGATGAGGCCTGTAGAGTCATGAGTGGCAGGGAAAGAACAAGCAGGGGTCAACTGCCCATTCTTCCAGCAGGAGATCTGGTCCACAGGTGAAGCTAATGAGGCTTTGATTCAGCAAGATCAAAAGATGTAGTTCTTCACAGAGAATTGAGATGGAGAACTTACCAGAGTATGTTGTGGATATTACATGTGTTGAAGAGGAGAGTGGGGAGGTGCACAGGGTGGGCACTGAGGGGTGCTAAATATACAGGAACCCCATTCAGATGAGAAAGGATTTGAATGGAAAATGCAAACACTTGCCCTATTCTTTTTTCTTCTTTTTTTTTTTTTTTTCTTCCCCCTGGTCTTTGCTTTTAGCCACCATTTGAAAAATAATGCTAGGCTTAAATGGACCTTTGCTGTGATCTCCTGTGGCTGCTTTTACGTGAGCTTCTTATTTACGGGAGTGACAGTCAACATGGACTTTCTTCTGTGTGGGTTTTTTCCACCCTTTCTCAAATAGAACTGAGTACCACCTGCCAAACCTCTTTAAAGAAACGTGGCTGTTGCTGTTCAGTGTCTGGGCAGCAGCTTTCGTGTTGAATATAGTCTTTTTCACGTAAGTTACTAGCATTTACAAAGTTATTTGAAGGTGGAAGTTTTCCCTGTGCAAGTGATGTTTTCTGTTTCTAGGCTCAGCAGGATCCTTTGCTGAAATTGGTAAACATTAGTTGAGCTGCTTCACTCTCAGGTGCCATAGTTACAATTCCAAATCTATTTCACATCTTTCCAGTAATTTTCCATTATATTTTTAGTCAATTCCAGCCTTTGTGCACATCAGGAGCTTAAGGATGGCCTCCCTGATTCTCCTTGGACATGCCAGTTGTCCCTGGAACCTGTAGACTGCTGATTTACCCCCTTCAGTTCATTAAGACATAGTGTTGGCAGACAGTACTACTACAGGTTTGCCTACATGGAAAAATATTTTGAGCCTAAGCATGGTAAAATAACTGTTTATGAAAAATATCATCAATATATATGAATTAGAAATATGACCTTGATAGTGTTACCATATCATCTTACTTATCATGTCATGTAACGTGAACCAACATGATCCAATTAAATATTTAAAGTCATGCTGTATTGATAGAGATTTAG